GAGGGGCAGGCTGGGCAAACCAAAGGGGAAACACTTTCTCAACTTTGAATAAGCTAACATGAAATACAGGGTGGATCCATCTTACGGTTTTGTGGTAGATCCAATTGTACAGTAACTGGGTTAATGATTCTCACAGTTGGAAAGGGCCCACATACTTTGGTCCCAATTTCTTCGATTTTTGGGTAGTTTGTAAGTACTTAGTGGACAGATACACTTTATCTCCCACTTGGAATTCTTTCAGTTTAGCCCTCTTTTTATCAGCCTGTTTCTTATGGGTTTGATGTGCCTCATCCAGTGCTTTACATGTGACTGGCTGAGAGCGTTGCGATTGTTCAATCCACTCCACTAAGCAGGGGATCAGAGGCTTCTCTTGTGGACTAGAAGCAACTTTGAATGGGGTGAAGCCGATACTACTATGTACTGAGTTATTATAAGCGACCTCTGCAAAGAGCAGCAGGTCGGCTCAATTGTCCTGCTGGTAATTCATGTAGCATCTAAAGCAGTGGTTCTCAACCTTCCTAATGCCGCGACCCTTTAATACAGTTCCTCATGTTGTGGTGACCCCCAACCAGGGGTGGGTTCTAAATTTTTTTATTACCGGTTCTGTGGGTGTGGCTTATTTTGTGAGCGTGGCTTGGAGGTCATGTGACTGGGTGGGTGTGGCTAGCTGGTCATGTGACCGGGTGGCCATGGCTATGTGTATAGGGACTACTCAGAAGGCTGAAAAAAGTCATTTTTGACAGGTCCTCGCACTTTTGACTGGTCCTCACACTTATGACCATCATCACATTTATGCCCGTGCAGCATTCTTAACAACCATGTCACTCATTTCACAACTGCTTCTCTTCACCATGGTGACAAGATAGGGCAAAAATGTAAAATGTGAGGACAGTCGTAAGTTCGAGGACTGGTCAAAAGTACGAGGACCAGTCAAAAATAACTTTTTCAGCCCTCTGAGTAGTCCATATGCACAAAAGGACTACCCAGAGGGCTGAAAAAAGTGATTTGTGACAAGTCCTCGCACTTTTGACCGGTCTTCGCACTTATGACTGGTCATCATTTATGCCCATTGTAGCATTCTTAACAATGTGTCACTCATTTCACAACTGCTTTTCTTCACCATGGTGACAAGATAGGGCAAAAACGTAAAATGTGAGGACAGTCGTAAGTTCGAAGATTGGTCAAAAGTATGAAGACCAGTCAGAAATAACTTTTTCAGCCCTCTGAGTAGTCCATATGCATAAAAGGATACAGCAATAGAGAGGGATGAAGGAAGGGAAGGGAAATTAGAGTAGGAGTGAGGGTAAGAGAGGGAGGAAGAGAGGAGGAGAAGAAGAAAGGAAGAGGAAGTAGGGAGGAGAAGAAGAGGGTGAGGAAGAAAAAGTAAGAAGGAAAGAAAAGAGAGAGGTGGTAGGTTTGAGGAGAAAGATTGCTGTACAATAGAAAAGATGAAAGGGAAGAAAGCCAACCCAAACAAATATAAAGATATTAAGATAAAGAATGAATTGTTAAACTTTAAAGAATAAAAAAGAACAAATATGAATAAATAACAATAATTAGAAACACACATACAAACATACAATGTATTTTCTTTGAACAGAGTATTTGGCCGGTTCATAAATTTAAACAGTGTTTAGTCATTTCAATTAAATTTACAATTTCTATATTTCCTTTTTGCCATATTTATTCCTCATCTATTTTTGTAAAAAAACAATATTACCCTTCATCCTCATCTCTAATCTTAATCAAATTCAATTTTTCCCTTCTATTCTATATTATACCCCTTCCCATTGTCATCTATTTTTATATCCATCCTCACATTGGTTAATTATGTAATATTACAGTTGTTTAATATAAATTCAACATTTTAATATAAATCAATTAGTTATATAACTACCTTTTTTGTATATTAATCAATATGAACATGAATATTCCAATTATTTCCATGCCATCCAATTTCTTACAAATCAATTAATTATTTTTACCAATAATAATAAACCAAATAATTTCCCCCATATATTCCTCCAAACCACAACTTAACCATTTTTGCTTTCAACACAATATACAATTAATAGTATCTCAATTATTACAATTCCCTAGTTAAATAGAGCTTTTTTTCTTTTGTGTTTTAAAATCTCCTCTTTTTCCCTAAATTTCCCGTTGTTTGTATCTACCTTTTTTGGTGAGGAAAAAGAAAAGAAATCTGCCTGCCTAATTTTCCAAGTTGCAGCAACAGCAAAGCAGTTTCAGTTTTGTTTTTCAGCATAGATAGGGGGAAAAAAATCTGCTCGAGCAAGCAGCAGAGCCCTGAGCAAAACAGCTAAGAGCAAATCAGCTGGGGGTCGGGAGCCGATCTAATCAAGGGCTAATTAGCCTATGCTGAAGCTCCGCGGGCCAATAAAATTACAAAAAAACACCGAACCATTTGTTAAATTGCTGGCTCGCCCGCCCCTCGCCCACCACTATTTATTGGCAATAAATAGTGGTGCAGAGGGGCGGGGCAGGGCAAGCCAGCAATTTATAGCCAGTGGTTCGGCTGCACCACTGGCTATAGGGCGGCCCTTTGAAGCCCCGCAGCAAGAATTTAAACCGTTTTTTTTCCTCTAGCTATCGGAGGCAGCAATAGATTGGGAGTGGGCGGGGTAAATGAACGGCCGGCGATCCAACAGAGCAGAGAGTGAGGGTGAGTGAAGGCATGGGGGGGGTGAGAGAGGGCTTTGGCGACCCCTGTGAAATGGCCGTTCGACCCCCAAAGGGGTCGCGAACCCCAGGTTGAGAACCGCTGATCTAAGGTACTGTTTCAGAACTGAGTTGGTCCATTCACAAACTCCATTAGTTTGAGGATGGTGGGCAGAGCTTAATCCCTGGGCAGAGCCTAACAGTTTAAGGAATTCCAGCCAAAATTGGGAGGTGAATTCCACCTCCCTGTCTGAGATAATGTGATCAGGAACTCCATACACATGTTGAACAGTTAGAGAGCCCTTTAGCTGAAGGTATTTTAGGGCATGGGACAAAATGCACCTGCTTGGAAAATAAATCTGTAAACCCTAACGACTGTATTTCCCCCACTCTCAGGCAATTCTACAATAAAATCCATAGATATTTCTTTCCACAGGGCCCTAGGATTGGCAACACTCTGGCGGAGCCCAGCAGGCTTTTACAGAGGCCATTTGGTAGCAGTACTGATAGGACAGCTGGCAACATAAGCCTCAATGTCCTTTTTCAATGAAGGCCACTAAAACTGCAGCTTGATCAGGTGTAAAGCCTTCATGAAATCAAAATGGCCGGCAGTTTTCAAATCATGGGTCCACTGTAAAACAGTTACCCTCAAACTGATGGGCATGTATAATTTGTCACCAGTCCATCTAGACCATCAAGAAAGAAAACCCCCAACTCCATTGAATTAAAGGAGAGGTAATTTTACTAAATTTGAAATGATAGCAGCAAAAGCAAGGCAAGATCTGAGTCAAAACACGTGAAAGTTACACGTGTTTGAAAGACACCCCAAATCCCTCTCCCCAGGGCCCAGCACTGAGAGACCAATCAACGTTCAGCATGATGATATGGGAGAGTTCCTCTTCAGGTATTTTGTGCATATGGAGTCATGGTTGACCTTGACAGAGTATAAACAACTCCACTCAGCAGTTGCCATAATTCATGAGTACAAACCTCCCTTCCAGTTCTCATGGGACTACTACACACCAGCTCATTTCTCCATCCCAAATGCCCAAGCCCCACTCCCCATTTCTGTGGGAGCCGATAGCAAGCACGCTGCAGAAACCCATGCTGGAGAATCTACAGCTGACAGTTATCAGGTAAAAAAAGATAGTCCTACCATAGACCATAGTGTGTAATTTTTTACAGAAATAGAACAAAAATGAAGGTATAAAGTTTTGGCAAAACCACTAAAATATTCACCATGTTTATTTGATACACTTAGAATTGATTCATTACCAGATAGTGTTGAAGTTTGTGCCTCTATAGTAGCATAAACAGAAAAAAATCCATGACGTACTGATTTGTAAAATAAATTCACCAATATATCTAGCTCGGTATATAAAATAGCAAGGAATCCTTTTTTATATAAATGAATTCTACATTGTTAAGATAGTGTACAATTGTAACTTTGTTAAAATAATGTAACCAAGGTAGCACTGTTCCCGCAAAACATATTTCTTTTGCATTGCTTGCTTTGGAGTAAGGTAAGAACAGGTGCCCGAATGATACATTATTAGCAATGTTTGCATAGCTAACTATTAAAATTGGGACATGCAATGTTTATGCATTTTTATTTGTTATTTCAGCAGAACAGCAAAATATATATTTTTATATAATAGTGCACTTTCTCCAGTGGCATTACATAATATCTGTGACTTTATCCAAACCTGGCAACAACTATTTATAAAAATATTTATTCATTCTGTGGAAATATTTAATGTGATTGCGTTCTGGTTCTGGTTCAATTAATTACTGATCATTGTCGGGGTATAGAGTCTGCTTTTCTTCTTAGGTTATTTTCATTTGTTTCTTCTGTACCCTTTTATTGAAATATATAAGTCTCTTAAAAGGTAAGGTTAAATATTTCAACCCTGATATGTGTAAAATATCAAATAGAACATATTATTATATTTTCATAATGAAGGAATCAGTGTTTTCATATAATCAAATTCATTTCTCATTCATATGAAGGAATTGAAAATTAAGAAATTTAACAAACTAATTTCAATACACACCATAATTTTATATTTGAAGACCGAAAAGCCATATCTAATGCTTGCAATTTTTTTGTTCTGGTGCAAAATTTGAAGCCGAAACCCATATACAATGGTAAAAAATGGTGTTCTGCTACTGGAAGCTTCTTGTGTTTAAACCATGATTGTACCATGTATTCATGCCAATTGCACTCTATTAATTTGTGTTTGTCATGTAATATCAGTTAACTATAGAAAATATATTTGCTGTACTTGTTTCTAAAAGATGGCTCCTTTATTTTTTTTCAGTGACGTGGATGATCACAAGCCTCTGAAAAAAGGAAGCAGGTCACCTTCAGACAGGACTGTGAAAAAGGAAGACAGTGATGATAGTTTAGTAGATTATGGAGAAGGAGTCAATGGTCAGTTCAATGAGGATGGGTCCTTTATTGGACAATACAGTGGGAAAAAAGAGAAAGAACCTGCAGAAGGAAATGAAAGTTCTGAAGCTCCTTCCCCAGTTAATGCAATGAATTCATTTGTCTAATTAAAGAAACTGTTCCATATCAACATCTACACCACACTTATTCCCCTAATTACAGATAAGAAAAGAAACAAATATTCTAACCAATGAAAAAAAAATTCTGTAAGTATAGAATTTATAACAAAAATCTAAATCAGAATGTAAAACTTGAAGCATTTTACATAGCATTTGTTTATAAAAGATTTTAAGGTGAGGAACATCAGTTAATATTGCAAATGCAGTATAATGCATGCAAAGTGTTGCATATATCTAAAAAAATCAGTTATGCTAGTGAAAATGATTTTTCATAATTTGTTAAACAGTCTTTAACTAAATCCTTCAAGTCCATTCTCATTGTCAGAGTGTTATAGTAGTATATAGAACTTCAATGTCTTTGTGGACATTGCTGTGAAATTGGTGACAATGTCTAGCTTAATGTTATTATGTCTCTTGCAAGACAGTTAGGAACAGGATGTACAGTATATGATTGAAAATGACTAAGTATGACACATTTTCTGATGCTAACTGAGATTCTGATACCTGCTTTTCGCTTCTCTTATTTTATAGGCTTTTTAATTATGAAATATTACTGCATCACAGTGTTCTATTTTTTGAAATATAGTACACATTGGGTTTTATGTTTTCTTTCGTTTTAATTCATTTTGGAGTTGTACACTTATGGATGTAAATTTTTCAAATTATAAAAAGTTAGACCACAAATATACATGGCAAAATATATTCAGTATCTTCAAATAATGTGCATTTCATTATGTTCTATAACTGGCATCATCCACCAGGAAGTTTTCTGAACATGATAAACATGGTGGTATTTAAGCAAACACCAAACAAATGCAGAAAGAATACTGGCAGGAATGTTCCCAATGTATTTTGTCCAACTCAGTTGACTTTAACAGTGTGTGATTAATTGCCAAAGTAATTCAATCATTTTCAAATACCCAGATATGTTGGTTTGATTAGGAATGGCTTGTATTTAAGCTACATTACAACTCATTGAGATTTCTTTATTTATGGAGATGAACTATAAAGTACAACTTGCATTTTCATGATCTTATGTAACTTGTACAAAAATGCTGCATTTTTTTGCTAATGTAAATACAGCTATTCTCAAAATAATATGCTAATAGAGCACCCTCACAATAGCATATTTATCTCTCAGTCAGAAAATCAGAATATAGCTTTTAGTAGAGTGCTTGGCATATAACAGGGTATAGAATCCTACAAAAGAGTTAAATCATTTAATAAATGCTAAGTTTAATTTTATTTAAATGGCCTCATATTAATTGCAAACTCCCTCATAAACACACACATGCACACACACACAAATTATCATTGAAAAGGTTTACCTCCAAATATAAAATGTTATATAACAACCTATGGTTGAAGGAATGCTCAGTTTCATTTGCCAATAAATTGGTTTTTCATAACTTGCATCAAGTTTAATTTTAAGTAAGCTTTTATATGTAGATATTTTGTTGAATTTGTACATATACTTAAAGTGTAGATGCTATATGCTATTAGGTGTTATAAATAAACATGTTTTGGTTGTACTGTGTAAAATGTACTTTAACCAATAAGGGGCTTGGTATTTTAAAGCATCTATCAAAATGCATATAAATTCAATCTGGGACAATAAAAAATTACTTTTCCTATTGCAGTTTTTCAGGTCAAGTGGTAAGGTTTATTACTGTGTGATGCTTCTGTTTAATCACAAGGATGATGAACGCCTTATTTAGAAATTGCACTGACACAGCATTGGTGTGCGACCAAGTGCATCTAATATTTGAGATCACAATATATTTGCAACTTCGATGCATATACTGTGTATGTAAAGCACAATTTGCAATGCCCATCTCATTAGCTATAAATAAAGTAGCTATAGAGTACTTATTGAAAAAGCACAAAAGGGAAAATTTCTACCAAAATTTTCCAACAGTATTGGAAATCAGTATAAGCTTACAATTAAATGGAGATGTGAAGATTATCCATGCATGTGAAGATAGACAGTTAAGGTTACTTCTGTAATGATGCAACACATTTTGTATTAAAATAAATGTGGTTTTAAAATTTCACTTGCTCTCAGTATATTGTTTGCCTGTAGAACTCAGGAGATACGTTTTACCATATCAAAATATCATTAAATAAAACTAAATAAAAGTAAGGCCATTTGATCATTTTCTGCATTAGCATATAAGAGATACACAGAGATAAAATTACCGGTACTAGTTTAATTCTGAATTTAGATCACATCATACACTCTTCTTGCATAATTATAAAACTATTTCCTTTTGGTATAGATAAGGTTAGGCAATAGTAATAGTATGTAGTGTTTTACTATTTTAATGCAATGAAGTAGTAAAACAAAGCAATGAGATTAAGAGAGAGAAAGAAACCTTTTTTATTCCTTTAAGCTTCTCACATTCAGAATGTTATTTTATTTTCCGCTTGCTAATTTGCTCTACCTTTATTGGTTTTATGTTTTAAACTTTTTTTATTCTCTGTATATGACCAAATGAAACATTTGTTTCTTTCATAGTGCTCATTCATTTTTCTATTCAGTTCAATTATATACAATTGTATTTAATACCTGGGCAATTCATTCTAGTTTCTTTAGTACTAGTCCAATAATCTATACTATATTCAGCACACTTTTACGTTTTCCCTGACATTCAGTTTTCACTACTGAATCACAAAGTGGGCACAAGTATACATTCAACTTTGCTTTTTCCAATATTTATTTCATGCAATAAATCAATTTATTTGCTATTTTTCTACCAGGATTTGCAATTACCTTATTAAAATTTACTCATATATATTGTATCTCATTTATTTCCCCATTTTTAGTACACATCCTACTATAGTGTACAAATTCACCTACTTGTCAAGTTTTTCATCATTTATGTATAACTTTTTCTTAACAAACTTTCATTGTCTTAAGCATTCCTTTTATATTTATCCATGAATACATTAAAAACCAATGGGACATCACACATTTGTTAAGCTTTTATTTTATTCTTGCATATATGCTTTACTTTTATCAGTTGCTTGTCATATTGATTATGTTTGTACCAATGGATGTATAATCCATAAGTAATATTACCATATTCTGGCATTTATGAGCCGAGGTGGCGCAGTGGTTAGAGTGCAGTACTGCAGCTACTTCAGCTGACTGCTAGTTCGGCAGATCAGCGGATCAAATCTCACCGGCTCAAGGTTAACTCAGCCTTCCATCCTTCCGAGATGGTTAAAATGAGGACCCGGATTGTTGGGGGCAATATGCTATTTAGTATACTGTCTTTGGTGTAAGCCGCCCAGAGTCCTCAGAGAGTGGGCGGCATAGAAATATGACTAATAAAATAAATTTATTCTAGATATTTGCAGCTGAACTGCTTTTGGCAATAAAATTGTATTTCTCTCTAGGGGTTATATATTTTAGGAGATTTTTATTAATGATAATGTCTATGATTATACAGGTGATTATTGCAGGGGTGTCAAACTCAAGGCTTGGATCTGGCCCACAGGGCCGCCCTGGAAACAGTGAAGGATCGGCCTGCAGTGCCTCTGCCAGCAAAAACAGAGCTTGGGGGGTGCAAAGCATTCAGATTCTCAGCCAATAATATCCTCCCAGGCTCCATTTTCAGCCATGCCAGCCTCCTGCAGCCCTCTGCCAGCGAAAACGGAGCTTGGGAGGACCGCACACTCCATTTTCGCTGGCAGAGGGCTAGCAAAACAAACTAAAACCAAAACAAAAGGAGAAATGTTTCCCCTTTTGCACTTGAACATCCAAGAAGGAACAGGAAAGGGAAAGAGGATGGTGATCTCCTATACTATCGCTGAGGATGCTTTGGTTACACAGCCAGATCTCCTTGCGTGGAGAGGGAGTGGGCCTCCCTCTGACCCACACACTTTGCCCTCCTGCACACACCATGAGCAACCTGGCCAAGGAGAGTGAGAACAGCAGCAGCAGTCTCGAGGAGGAGGTAAGCGTAGCCGGGCACCCCACTGGGAAGTAGGGCTAGGCTGTGGGGTCCAGGTGCCCTGGGAGCTTGAGGGCTGGGCTGGGCGCTTGGCCTCCTCTGCCTAGGGCTCTGAACAGCCTGTGCTGCCATCCAGGGGTCCTCTGTGTGGCCTAAGGGATGGCGAGGCTCCACTGGAGGACAAGGGTTTGTCACTCTCCCTATCTTGCCTTCCTCCACTGGAGACAAGATCCTCCCCAGCCCTGATTGGCTGACCACAGGTTTCCCCAGCCCCGCCCGGGCCACCACATGAGTGACATTGAGCTGGCCATGCCTACCCTGGCCACACCCACCCCAGCCATGCTGCCTACCCCACGCCCCTCACTCCCAAGGTCAAACACAACCCTGATGTGGTCCTCAATGAAATCAAGTTTGACCCCTTGATGTATTGCTATTTTGGGCTCTAATATATTATAGGTTATAATACATTTTTATTTACTCTTTCATATTCCTTCACCCATATTGATCCCACTACATAAGAGCATCCTAGGGTGGGAGGCAAAAGAGCAAGATGCAATCGTACTATTGAAGCTTTGTCCCTTTTGTAGGTATGACACCGGCATGTACAAAAGAGCAGGTCTTTTGTTGCACTGCCATGACTGCTAACTTGAATTTTTTTGATTCTTGCTCACCCACTCACCCACTCCCATGGGCATAACAGCTTAATACGAAGCTTCACTTGGGTTGAAACTGAAGTTCAAAGTTTATTCTTAAAAAATAGCATTTAAAGCAGTGTTGTCTTTAAGAAAAATATTTTCTGTTTCTTATGGTAAACAACTACACAAATTCTGCTTAAAACTTAAAAAATGTTTTAAAGTTTTAAGAACTTAAAATGACAGGAAGAACTAGCAGTTATGGAAGAAATGTTCCAAAATCAGTATGAATTCCTGAGTATTAAATACTTTAATATTCAAATATGACTTTGACAATCAAAGTGATTGCAATACTTTTAGCAAACATTGTCTCATATATAAAAAGATTACCAATGTTTCTTTGTATGTTATCTTTTTTGAAAGGAATCCAGCACTATAAACAGGATTAGCCCTTTTGAGGAATTTACTGTAGTTTAACATTTTAAAGTTAAAAATCATGTAACTTTAGATTATCTCCTTCTCTTCAAGTACAATAACAATATTTCTTATTGGTCCATCCTATTGTCAGATGAATTAAAGCTTGGAGAAAATTCTAGGTCAATGGACCAGACAAGGTTTCCTTTATATAGGCCATATTTATCCAAATTACCTGAAATTCCTGATTTAGCAATTTAGAAGCATGATGGGAACATTAAATAATTTGTTGGAAAACTGTAAGATAGCAATATTTTAATTCTATCTAATTACTCTTCAGAATTACGTTAAATAATTATGTAATTAGTATTGTGTATTGTGAGAAAACAATAACTGTAAAGTACACAACTATTTCATACAAAGTATTGATAGAAGTATTCATTGAATCACATTTTTAACCTTAAATCCATGGCAGTAGATTATACCAACTCTCTTAGAAAAAAGAAGCAAGTCAAGAGTTAATTTTTTGGAGATGCTATTCTATATATTATGGTAAGAAAATAGTTTTTGACAAATAGCAATCCTATTAAAATTCTGAAAATTAGATGGGCTAAATTATTCCTAACAGATTGAAAACGACTTTCCAATAAAAAATAATTCTCTAATCAAGGAAATACCAAGGAGAAAATCATACCTGCAACACACACCCCACACCTACTAGCACTGATGATATTATCTAGCCAGGTAATGAAAAGTCTCCAAACAAACAACCATGATCAAAGTGCACCAAGAGGATTGGAGTATTGACATTTCGATGAAACAATATTTTTTGTTTCATTTTACATGAATGATAACTTCTTTTTTTTAAAGATAATTTTTATTCAACATTTACATCTTTAACATCCTTGTTACATTTTTACAGCTTTCCGATACCGGCATCTGTAATAATATCTATAACCAACTATATACGCATACATTTTATGTATTACTTACATAATCTCTATATTCACTACAATTTATACCTATCTATTACACAATCTTCTCTTACATTTATACATTAATTTTGGATTGTTTCTCCAACCACTTATATCATCTATTCCATGTCTCATAATAAATCGTTTCCTCTTGGTCTTTAAATTTCATTGTTAATTTATCTGCTTCTGCACATTCTAGCACCTTTTTTATGATCATCGTATTTGATGGAGCAAATCTTTGTTTCCAATTTTGTGCAAATGAAATTCTGGCGGCTGTAATTATGTGAAGTATAAGATAATAAATTTCTTTCCTAATCTTCTCTTTTATAATTCCCAATAAAAATAGTTCGGGTTTCATAGCAATTTTTTCCCTGTCTTTCTTCTAACCATTTTTGGATTTTTAACCAATATGCCTTTGCTTTGGGGCATGTCCACCACATGTGGAAATATGTCCCATGTTGATGATTGCATTTCCAGCAATTTGGTGCATTTTTTGGGGATATCTTGGCCAATCTCACCAGGGGTAAATGCCACCTATAAAACATTTTGTAAATATTTTCTTTATAGGCGGCCGACGTCATCTTATAATTTGTTCCCCATATTTTTTCCCAATACTCTAATTCAATATTATACCGAAAGTTTTTCGCCCAAATTATCATCATTTCTTTTACTGTTTCCTCCTCCATTTTGAATTGAAGGAGGCATTTATATATTTTAGTAATTATTTTCTCATCGGTCCCAGTTAATATTTTGTCCATTTCTTTTGATCAGTTTGAAATCCATATACTTCTAAATCTTTATTATATTTTGTTTGTATTTGTAAATAGGGCCACCAATAAATTTTAATTCCTTCATCCAATAATTTTTGTCTAGATTTCAAATTCCCTAATCCATCTAACAATTCCTTATATGTTACTATTTTGTTAAGATCAATTAAATTAGGATAGACCAAGGCTTCCATTGTCAACACCCATCTTGGGATTTTTGGATAAAAGTTTTAATTTTAATCCAAGTTTCTAATAGATGCCTCTGGAAATACTTATGTCACGAATAAATGCCTTGCCTCTGACCCAGA